AGGTAGTGCAGTTTGCTTCATTATAACATATTTAAAAACAACAGAAGCAAATATGGAACATCTATCTGCAGAAATGATGAATCATGATCACGAAGAGGCTGACACTCTGTTAATTCTGCATGCCATAGGTGTTTTAAAAGAAAACTCATTTAAAAAATGTAATGTGCATTCACCAGGATGCACCAGGATGGTTACAAATCAAATCAAATTATTTGGCAATCAGTGACGCTCAAAATTTTTGGTATCTTGCTCAATTAATTAAAAATGCAGTTATTGATGTAAAATACAAAGAGTTAATGGAGAAAGTTTTGAAGCAAAACTTATATTTTTCTAACTCAGAGAATACTTTATTGGCAATGATGAGTGATGAAAGAAAACAAGTTAGGACTACAGCCATTCAAATGATACCTGAATCCAAAAATACTAGCGAATCCAATAGACATTTTAAACTTCCTACAACATTAAATCTTGGAGCCAAAGATTACTGTGAATTAATAAATTAGGAAATCAAAGAAATTCATTCAACACCTTTACTGAATTGTTTATAATTCATTATAACATATTTAAAAACAACAGAAGCAAATATGGAACATCTATCTGCAGAAATGATGAATCATGATCACGAAGAGGCTGACACTCTGTTAATTATTATAAAACTTTTAATGATTATTCAAATGAAGATAATTTGAAAGCCAATGACAGTCCATTAAATATTCAATATTATCCTTGTCATAGTCAGAATATAAAAAGAATAGTTGGAGTAGTCACAATATCATCAGAAAATAGATATGGCCACGAAAAGCATCATAAATTTGTAATAAACCTGTTGGAGTCCAGGGAAAAAATGCCTAAATTTGATTGGAAAGCGCAATTGAAATAAAACATAAAAATATACATTTTTTTATAGCCTATTAAAGCTTTCCATTCTTTTTTTTATTTCTAAAAGTTTTGTTACTTTGCTTAAAATATATTTTTATAAAGGAGATTTGCTACAGTAAATATTTTGTTTTATTTCATCCTTTTTCTTCTTTGTATAAAAACAGGATTAATGTTACATTTAAAAAATGAATGTGAGAAAAATATATTAGTACAATGTTAACCTTAATAATCTTAATAAATAAATAATAATATGCCTAAGAACCTTTTTCTGAATTAAAAAACTAAAAAATGACTTTGAATATTTTTTATTAAAGAAAAATCAACAAACTAAGTAAAAATCAAATTGCAAAATGATAAAATAGAAATTTAATATTTTAAGTGTTGTTCTTTAGTTCTGTTGCAAAAAAAAATTGGTTTCTACTTGAATATTGTATTAATATTCAACTAACTTCATGTACATTTGACAAGGAACTTTCTATAAGTATGCATTCAGAAGATGCTTTAAATGCTCAGTCAAAATAATTTATTGATATATATGCTGATGATATGTTGATTGAATTTGGTGATATCTATGTTGATGATATGTTGATTAAATTTGGTGATATCTATGTTGATGATATATTGATTGAATTTGGTGATATCTATGTTAACTGCTGATCTATGACTACATAATTATAATTAGGTTTAATAATTTTTTGACTTTGTCAAATCAATAATTTTCCACTTGATTTCAGTTGAAAATGGTTATGTATTAATTATTAAATTGTATTACTACTACACACAGAGGCAATTCTATAAATAAAAAAAGGGGAGTGTGAATCCTTAAAAAGTAATAACTGCTTTATATTTTAGTATTTATACGGTTGGCATGAAAAATGGATTGTTCTTAACAAACCACCTTGCCACACATTTTTTAAGGATATTGACATAAATTTTACTGTTTCAAAGTTTTGTTGGCCGCTCTCATAATTTTTAAAAAGAAAATCCCAAAATAAAAGAGTGGTTGCTTGCAGCTTTGTTGGGAGTCAAGTAAATATATATATATATATAATATATATATATATATATATATATATATATATATATATATATATATATATATATATATATATATATATGTATATGTATATGTATATGTATATGTATATGTATATGTATATGCAGGCCCGCCCAGAGCTTTTGTGATGCCCGGGTCCAAAAGTTTAATGGATGCCCTATCTTACTTCAGGTTTATAAAATGACAAATACAAAATAAATTAGTAAAGTTAGTTTTTGTTTACTTTCATAGAAAATCTGAAACCACATTTAGTAAATTTTGGTTTTTAAAAACAAACTATGGTAAAATCAAGTCTTAATATCGAACGCATCGTTCTGGCCTTCTTATCGGCAAAAATAACTACTTGATAAGAAACGTTATTGGCTTAATCTGATTTAATTGAAAGGATCATCAAGTAGCACAATCGCTTCTGGTCCATTGTTGAATGAAGATAACCTTTAATGATAGTTAACTTATTGAAAGATCTTTCACCTTCAGATGTTTAAACAGGAAATATTTTGAAAATTGTAAGTGAAACACACCCTAGTGAAAATATTGAATGCAATCCCTTTGCATAAACTTCATTTAGATGTTCGGCAGGCTTTTTGCTGCCTAGAATAATTTTTCTTA